ATGGGTTCTCACCATGATGCCCAGGCTGGTGATAACTCACCTTTATTTATTTATTTAAAGACAGAGTTGGGCTCTGTTGCCCAGGCTTAAGTGCAGTGCCGCGACCTCAGCTCACTGCAACCTCTGCCTCCCGAGTTCAAGCGATTCTCCTGCCTCAGCCTCCTGAGTAGCTGGGACTACAGGTGCGCACCACCATACCTGACTAAGATTTGTATTTTTAATAGAGACAAGGTTTCGCTACGTTGGCCAGGCTGGTCTCAAACTCCTGACCTCAGGTGATCTGCCTGCCTCGGCCTCCCAAAGTGCTGGGATTACAGGCACGAGCCTCCATGCCTGGCCTAGAACCCCTGCCTCTCTTTGCAGCTGTGGTTCGGGTATGTAACCTAGTCCTGGCCTGAGGACAGAGTGCCACCTCCTGAGACAGACGATCGTCCCTGATAAAAGGAAACACATAGGTGACATTCTCCTCCTGCCAGCGGACGGAGTTCTGCGGGAACGTGACACTTGGACAGTGACAGCCATCCTGCTGTCGTGAGGGGTAAGTCTGAGGGGAGAGTCCACATCCTGAGGTGGCGGAGTGGACAGATAGAAAATCTCACATCTACTGAGCCACAGAGTTTGCCTGGAGCTGCCTCCCTCTAGGAGGCATCTCCGTGGCAGACCCTTTCCCTCTGAGCCACACAGAGACCAGTCCGGAGCTCCCCAGAGTTCCTTCCATGCTGACATCCTGGGACCCAGGGAGGCTGCGATCAGAGTGAGGCAAGCAAGGTGCAAAACTGAAAGGGGTGGCAACAAACAAACAAGCACAACAGCCCTTGGTGATCAAGGTAATTTTTTTTGAGACGGATTCTTGTTCTGTTGCCCAGGCTGGAGTGCAGTGGTGCAATCTGGGCTCACTGCAACCTCCGCCTCCTGGGTTCGAGTGATTCTTCTGCTTCAGCCTCAGCCTCTCAAGACTATAGGCGTGTGCCACCAAGCCCAGCTAATTTTTGTATTTTTAGTAGAGACGGGGTTTCACCATGTTGGCCAGGATGGTCTTGATCTCTTGACCTTGTGATCTGCCCACCTTGGTCTCTCAAAGTGCTGGGATTACTGGCCTCCGCCCCTGGCCTAATCTGATACTTTTTAAATATCAAAATTAATGTAAAATATAAATAATGAGCAAAATTTCAAGATTTTAAACAAAGAATCAGTGTCACTGATTAGACCTGCTCTTCACATGTTTCCACATAGGGCACCCCTGATAGTCTCACCTGTGACGATCTGTGTGATGGAAGAGGCAGGGCTGTGGGGTTTGCAGAACCAGGTTCAAGGCCGGGCTCTATCAGTGACCTCCCTGGTGATTTCAAGCAAGTCCTTTCCCTTCTCTGGCCTTTGGTTACCCCGTCTGTCCTGTGTAGAGGCTGGGGCATTGCTGCGGGGGGCCTTCTGACCTGTGTGCCTTGTCCCCATAGCCTGCTGGGGTTACTGTCCCTCTTCCTAAGAGGCTGTGTCTCCAGGGTCATTGGCTCCTAGCTATTAATATGTTGGCCATCCCTGGCCTGGTCAGGGTGTTTAATGACTGCCAGCTGTGGCTCCAGCGCCCTCCCTCTGGAGAGATAAGAGCAGTTCCTGTTCCCACATTGTGGGAGGGTGGGTTCATTACAACAGGCCCTGGGTGAGTTCTGGGAATGGGCCGACTCTGACTCTTCCCCCCACCCCACCAGCAGAGCAGATGGGAGTGCCTGGGGATATACACTTTCCACACACCCTCCCCACGGGGGCTGTCCTGGCGTCCCCACCTGCCTGAGCCGTCACTTTAGGTCCTGATTCTAGTAGCCCTGGAGATTCTCCCCAGAGTCTCGCAGACGTGACATTGAGCACGTCCCACACCAGGCCATCATCCCCCCGGCCCTCCTCCTCCCCACCTGGAGGGGCACTGGTGGCTTCTCCCGGGCTGCCCCTTGGGTGCTTCTAGTAGCCAGAGTGGCCTGCCCCAAACCCACCCTCACCCCTCAGCCTCACTTAGGAAGCCTGCACTGTGCTTCTGCGGGAAGGGACCCCTGATGCCTGCCCACTTGGATTCAGGTATCCCTGGCACCCATCATGTTCCCTTGGGACCCAGAGACCCCTACCTAGCCCTCAGAGATCACCTCAATGTTTCCTCCCTGAGACACTGTCCCCTATGCATTCTGTTGGCAAGCTGGCCACCATCCGTGGGCAGTCTGTGCCCTGGAGTGGCAGGAACCGCCCACATGGTGGCCTCTGTGTGGAGGGATGGTGGCTCTGTGCACGGGGATGGGGGGCACTCCTTGTCCTTGCCTCCCAGGAGGGACCCACATGAGTCAGCTGGGCTTTGTCCTCAGGGGCTGGGCTGAGGGCTCAGTCAGTGGTTAGAGTCCAGCCTGTGGCCAGTCAGGGTGGGCTCTGCCGGGCGTTACCGCTGGGTATGAGGCAGGCTTTGTGTGCAGAGAGGCCAGTGGGTCGAAGGTCCAGGCCCTGGGTCGCCTTAATTCCACACTAGGCCTGAGCAGTCCGCGGCCTCACCGCCTCCTTCTCCTGTGCCTCACTCTGCGCGGCGCCCAGGAAAGAGGCCCGCCCTCTGGGTCACTTGGCCTCCACCCAGGTGTTTGGGCCCAAGGCCAACCTTAGTGAAGTCCTTGAAACATCCGCCAGGGGGCGATAGAGACGAGCTGGCCTGGCCCGACAGGTGCCTGGCAAGGGACCTGGGAGCTGGGGGAGGATGCGGGGCCAGGAGCAATTCTGCTTGTGGCCAACCCCATTCCAGGGCTGCCCCAGCCCGGGAGACTGTTTCGGCTTCTCTCCATTGTTAGGTGCCCATCACTAAGCTTGGCGCTTCCTAGTCACCTTTCTGAGCAGGGCCCACCTCTGTCCTCCCTTTCGTTGCCCGCATCCTGGCTCTCCGCTTTGTCCACTCTCCATGCTCTTGGCTGATAACTGGTCCCCTACCCAGGCTGCCTGCATAACTCTGAAGCCATGAAACACAAATGAGGGGCTAAGAGGCACTGTGGTGGGTGGGGCGGGTGCAGTGTGATGGGGGCCCCTCCCGGCCTTCACACAGCCCAGGCAGCCTGCAGGGCGCTAACCTGGAAGGCCGGGTGCTGTCCTTTCCTCTGCATTTCTACTCCCCTCTCCCTCCTCCTCTCTTCTACCGGCCTGAGCTCATCTCTCAAGGAGTCCTGGCAGGTCTCAGACCTTTTTCTCTGCACAGCCTCTATCCTCTGTTTATGCCTCAGCGCCCGACTGCTTGGGGCTCCCCCCACCGTCTGCGGTCCTCCCCTTGAGCTCAGGGGGCAGAGTGGGTGGCAGAAGTGGGTGGCCCCTCCTCATTAGCCACCTGGGCCTTAGCCCCTAGAACCCTCCCTATTGTGCAGGCGGATGGAGAGATTCATACTCAGAAGGGGGGAACTGCCATAATTCTGAGAAAGTCTGAAGCAGAATTGGGATTAGTTGACAGGGGCTGGGTATTCTGGACCTTACTGAGAAGTATGGGGTGAACAAGGTCTCTGGAAGCAGTTCAGAGAGGCACTGAGTAGGGAGTCGGAGGAGGGAAATCAGAGAGAGAGAGAGAGAGAGAGAGAAAGAGAGAGAGAGAGAGAGAGAGAGATAGAGAGACATGCCCCAGCTGGGGGAGGGGAGCATGGAGGGGCTGTCCCCTGTCTCTCAACTCCTATGCCTTGGAAAGCTAGTGGTGGGAATGCAAGATGCTCAGGGTTAGTAGGCTGGGTGCAGTGGCTCACACCTGTAATCACAGCACATTGGGAGGCTGAGGCAGGCATATCACCTGAGGTCAGGAGTTCGAGACCACCCTGGCCAACATGGTGAAACCACTGAGCCAGGTGTGGTGGCACATGCCTGTAGTACCAGCTGCTCAGGAGGCTGAGGCAGGAGAATTGCTTGAACCTGAGAAATGGAGGTTGTAGTGAGCTGAGATCACACCACTGCACTCCAGCCTTGGGGACAGAGCCAGACTGCATCTCAAAAAAAAAGATGCTCAGTAACCTCATTGGTGGTCACCACTGATGGTCTGGGCTTGGGGGGGGGGGCGCTACTGAGAATGGTCTCTCTGGCAGGCCGGGGGGTGCCTGAGGTCAAGGTTAGAGACAATGCCTCCTTCTCGGTCCTATGGCTGACCGTGCACAGGGCAGGGTGTGCAGTGTGACTCCAGATGGGGAAAATGTGCTACTCCACTGAGTGGCATTTCCCTGGGGGTGCCTCACGGCTCACAGTCACCTCTATCCTGGCCTGAACACCCTCGACTCTGGCCTCTGAGGATGCTGGGTTGGAACTGTCATTGATGATGGGTCCTGGGATGTCCTGGGTCAGACAAAGCTTTGAAGAAGCCTTGCAGGCAGATCTGAGCCTTCGCCAGCCCATGCTGACCACACTATCACCAGCCTGGCATCCCTCTCTGCTCCTCTAGCAAGTTCACAGGTGGGACCCAAGAAGGTCAGCATGGGCATCGGCTTTGGAGACAACTCTTGCTGACCACTGTTATTTGCTGCACTGCCTGTTTAAACTTTCTCATTGGTACATCGTCTCTGCTCACTCGGCTTGTGTTGGTGATATCTGCTTTGTCCACTACCTGCCTCCTCTGGCTGAGCCCAGGGTATTTGCAGAAGCTTGTCTGCAGGAGTGGCTGTGGCCTGTGAAGCACTCACACCCAGCCGTTCCTGAGACCCTGGGCAGCTCTGCCAGCTGTTTGGTGTCAATCCGAGATTAGGATGGTCTTTTCTTGGCTGGATTTAAGGAGTGGGAGACACGATGGGCACCCGGTCTGACTCTGTCACTCAGAGGACAGGGTACCATTCAGAAAGATGGGAGTCGAAGGCCTCAGACAGAACTGTGAACGTCCCATATGAAAATAGGGATTTCTGTCAGAAGCCAAAAGAGTGGTGGCATCTGGTCTCGGCACTCTTTGAGACCACCCATCCTTTGAGCAGAAGCTGGTCCCATTTTAGGCCACATGAGAACATCAAGCACCAGGGGAACCAAGGCAATCCAAGCCAACATTTATTGCTACACAGCCTGTTGCAGCCCTGAGGGATCCTCTGGCGGAGGTGTGGGTAGGAAGCCAAGTGGCCACTGGGTGAAGGGCAGACAGAGGAGGCCGTGGCCAGCAGGCTCTGGTCCAGATGATACATGGGCTGGAGGCCTCCTCGGCCACACTGCAGGGAGGGTGGGGTGGGGCAGGAAGGGGGATTCAGGGATGATGGCAGTGAACAAATCACCGAGAGGATCCGCTGGTTACAAAATACAAAAGTTAGCAGTGAGTCTGTGCTTTCACTTTCCTGTCAGCCAGATGTGAGTTCAAATCCTGTATGTGGAGCAGGGGGAGGCATCTGCTCTGTCAGAGCCCACGGGTACACATCTCTGAGCCTAGTCACAACAGCTGGCACATAGGTGGGTGGCCAAGGAGGGCCTTCCCCCGTTCCTTCCACAGTGCAGAGGGATGGGTATGGCTGGTGCGAAGATCCCGCTGGACAGATGAAGCCACAGACTGGAGAGAAGGTAGGCTGTCTGAGACCTAGCATTCACCGGTGGCTGCCTCCTCCCTTCCCAGAGGTTTGAGTCCCTCGGCCTTGGGTGGCATTGTACCCCAACAGACTGACCCTGGGCCACTCCACTTCGGTGGGGACCACTGAGATAGCTGTGCTCCCCGAACCAAAGCTCCAGAATAACGCGCCTTGAGGAGCTGGTAGCTAAGCCTGAGACGACAACAGGGCAGAGAGCTGTATCTTCAGAGAAATGCCTGAGCGAAAGCAGTGGTGAAATTTCAGGCACTGCCTGGTGTTGGTGCCGGTGATCTTCCCGGGCAGAACCTTTCGCCCTCAGATCTCACCAGCGTGGTCTGAGATCGCCGGTGTCTTTCCTCCGACTGGGCAGAGGAGCTAGCAGGGGGCAGAGTCAGGATGAAAGTGTGCAGGCCTTTTGCCCGTGATTGGTGGAGGGCTTTGGAGGAGGAGTCCGGTGACTGAGTCCCACCTGCAGGGGGCGGGGTCAGGATGAAAGTGTGCAGGCCTTTTGCCCGTGATTGGTGGAGGGCTTTGGAGGAGGGGTCTGGTGGCTGAGTCCCACCTGCAGGGGGCGGAGTCAGGATGAAAGTGTGCAGGCCTTTTGCCCGTGATTGGTGGAGGGCTTTGGAGGAGGAGTCCGGTGGCTGAGTCCCACCTGCAGGGGGCGGGGTCAGGATGAAAGTGTGCAGGCCTTTTGCCCGTGATTGGTGGAGGGCTTTGGAGGAGGAGTCCGGTGGCTGAGTCCCACCTGCAGGGGGTGGAGTCAGGATGAAAGTGTGCAGGCCTTTTGCCCGTGATTGGTGGAGGGCTTTGGAGGAGGGGTCTGCTGGCTGAGTCCCACCTGCAGCCCTCCGGGAGAGAAGGTCCCGCCTCTCTTACTTGCTAGAAACCTCCAGGCAGGCACTAGGGCTGAGCTCTCTGGGAGCGTCCCGACCAGAGACCAGAGGGCTGGGGGCAGCCTCCGAGCCCAGGGCTGGGGCTGGCCGTGCCCAGGTAGGCCTCTGTCCCTGGCGTGTGCCGGGGTGAGTGGGAAGGGCCCCAGGATCCTGGCGGTCAGACCAGGGAGACTTCGGCTTGGAAGCTGGAGGAGCGGCGGGCCCCGGGGCTGACGCGGGTCAGCATAGAGACCTGCGTGCTGCACGTGCCGCCATTGCTGCCTCCCGACGGGGGTCGGTATTTGGAGTTCCAGCCCAGAACGCCCTGCAGGTGCCAACGCCGCCACTTCCGCCTCAGCTCCGCCTGCACCTAGGAGAGGGTAAGGTGGTCGGGCCCACTGCTGTGGAGCCTCTTCTACTGCGGATTGGGCTTCTCTGGACTTAGGGTTCTGAACTAGCCAGCCTTATCCTCTTAAGGATATCAGAATGGAGAGACCTCGATGCCGCCTTGGGGGGTGCAAACTTGGGACTGGGTTGAGGCCAGGTTCAAAAGGAGGCCTTAGAATGGTAGGAAGTGAGAGGCAGAGAGGATCCAAGAATGCAGTGCAGGGAGGGAGCAGGATGCTGCCTGGGGTGACTGTCCCCCAATTCTTCCCATCCTGGCCCTCCAGCTCACTTGAGTGCGTTTTTGTGCATTGTAACCAGAGCTCCACAGCAATTCAACCCTCACCGGGAGCCTCCCTCACTGTACACGGCCAAACTCGGCTGTGCACAGGGATCCCCCTGGGGGTTAGTAAAAACCTGTTTTTGTTTTTTAATAATATTAAAATGCAGATTCTAAGCCAGCAGGTGTGGGGTGATCACCGAGACGCGCGATTTATCAAGGGCCTAGGTGACACCAGTGCTACGAGTCTGAGGACCATATTGGAGTAGCAAGGGTTAACCCGTCCTTGCTCTGCACATTCCCATCCGTGTTTCTGGACCCTGGTCCTGGGAGTTCCATTGTCTGAGCTCCAAGGACTCGGAGGGGCTTACCTCACCATTGAGGAAGCAGTAGAGGATCGCCACCACGAAGCCCTGGGAAGGAAGGGGACAGGAGAACTGAGGTAGACAGACACCAGAAGCCCCCACCCTGCTCCACCCTGCCCCACCCTGCCCACCCTTGGCTCCAGCCCCTATGTTCCCCTGGTTAAGGAAAGAGCTAAGCACAACGTAGGTGCTTATCTAAAACGTATTACAGTAAAAAGATTGGAATCCAGTGGCAAGGTCCAAGACTCCAGGGTGAATTCCATTAAAAGCCAGAGAAGAATGCAGCCTTAAGTCAACAGTCCATACCTGGAAAGACCCCACGATGAGCTCAAAGACCATTTTCACCTCAGCCTTAAAATTGTCAGGAAAGAAGGCGAACATGATGTAGTGTACTCCAAACAGGGGGATCAGCAGGAGTGTGGACCTGGCCAGCCTCCTGGGGACAGGGGAGGGCAGGATGGCCATGTGTGCACACACGTGGATATGATGGCCAGCCTCCTGGGGACAGGGGAGGGCAGGATGGCCATGTGTGCACACACGTGGATATGATGGGGCCTGGCATGGGGGAGCTGGAGGCACAGAAGATGGGGACAGTGACCAGGATGTGTGAAGATGGAGTGTGGGTCCCCCTAAATATTATGTCCATGTCTGTTCCTGTTCCACAGCTGCACTGCCTCTGTCCTCGTGCCCCCAGCCCTCCTGGCCTGGAAGGAAGCATGAGAGAGAAAGAAGCCCCCTCTCTTCTCACCCTTCAGGAGGAGAGAGGGTAAGAGGTAAAGGAGAGGCCAGTGAGAATGATGCAACAGGGACGTGTTTGCTGAAATCCACGATGGGGTGTCCTGCTGCCTGGGACCCCTGGTCTGGGAGGGGCTCACCTCACTATTGTAGTAGAGGATACTCTCAGCCATGAGGGCAGTAGAGAATCTCTCAGGCAACAGGAGCTCCTGCTTCCCTTTCTCCTGGCCTCAGTTTTTCCCATTCATATAATGTAGTAAGTGTATGCTTGACATAGATCACAGAAACGGGCCCACTATGAACGTGGAAGTGTTTGGCGTAGGGCAGTGCATCCACGGGAGACCGATTCTCTACTGGGAAGATGTACTAGGAAGCAAGTCTTTGTAACTGGGGTGCTGACCACATATGCCCAGGGCCACCTGGGAGGGTGATGGGGACCCAAGTCCATGCCTGATCACCAGGGACAATCCAGAATGACAGTATCACCCTCTGTCTTTGTTTTTTCTGCTGTGTCTGCTTCTCCAGAAGTTGCTGCCTTCTCTGGGATTGCATCCCCTCCTCCCCCCTCCCCACACCACTGCATACACTCCCAGCGTGCTCTGAAGGACCAGCTCCTCCTTCACAGCTGTGTGTGCTCAGCAGGGTCAGCATTCACTCTAAATGTTTGTCCCTCTCACAGAACCCAGGGTGCTCTCTTCCTGGTTCAGGCTTCCCATCACCTGAACTCAACTGGTCCAGGCAGTGTGAACCCATTGCTCCCTGGCTCGGAGAGGTGGGGTGTGGATAGGGAGGGTCTCTGACTCTGTCTCTGCTGCCTTAGCAGTCAGTCCAAGAGAGCCTAGCCCAAGGCTTAAGGTCCCACAGTAAGCTGGGGGCAGAGGAGTTGGTCTTGCCCCTCCCACTCCTTCCCGGACCTGGTCCCCAGCTGTGCCAAGATCCTGAGCATTGCCCAGCCCTCTTCGGCTGCAAAACTATCCCACGCAGCAGAGGCTAACAGATGGAGGCTTTCTTTAAAGCAAAGGCTCCTGCGGAGGTGGAGAGTGGGAGCGGAGAGCCTCTCCGTGAGGAGCTCCATCTCTGACTGCCCCCACCCCTTCTGCCCGCTGACAACTGTTTCCTTTCTGTCTCACCCACACAGACCTGGCTCTGACCATGGCCGGCTCTGTTTGTCTCAGATTCAAGCCCTTTGGAATCATTGTAAGTTGGGGGAAATAAGGTCCCATTGGCAAAAGAGAGGATGAGGGTGCACAGGCCCGACGTGCTGCCCCTCGGCAGTCTGCAGGCCCCCACAGGAGCCTTTCCTTCTCAGACAGGAAGGGAGTCCGCCTACAAACCTGGCAAGAGAGAATGCGGTCACACCAGGAATGTGAGTCTTAGTCTCATCAGGGAGAATCACAGGATTCCGGAATAGAATCCTAAATCCAGTAGCATGTGACATTCTCGCCAGGAATCTTAGAACCATAGCACAGACTCTCCAAAGAAGCCAGGCCAAGAAGACCATTCTAGACTCCCAGGACTGGAAGGCCTTGCGGGGCGCCCTAGGTTTGTCTGTGTGCATAGCACTGATGCTCCTTCTGCTCCCCTCCATGAGCGTGCAGACCCCACATGCCTTCCCACAGCCTCCCTTTCCACATTCTCATGTTTCTTTAGCTCTGTTTTCCAGCCATGTTGCTCCCACAAAATCCTGCCTCTTCCTCCCAAGCACAGGGGACAGTCCTGACACCTTTCCAAGCCCTGGTCCACACCGTGCCCCCTTCTCCCTGCCCATGGTGACATGCTCCAAAACCCTGGAGGATGAGGGCGTGTATGTCAGTTTCCTCTCTGTAAAATGAGGATAATTTTACAGCGGACTGTGTGGATGAAATGACATGATGCATGGAAATCCCTTAGCGTGTGCCTGGCATGTAAACCGCAGGTGTCATCATTATTACTAAGAAATACCGAGTGCTGAACATGTGTGTCTCATTGGTGGACTGGGGTCCCCTCAGTGTATGCGTCTGCTGTGTGCTTAGTGCCCCCTTTTCATGCCGGGGACATGGTATGAACAAGACGCAGGTCATCGGCGTCCTCTCCAGCTCCCCGGCTTGGAAGCAGATGCATCCCTGGGAAGGGTGCCAGATGAGTGTGGGCAGCAGAAGTATCCATGGGGCTCTGAGCACAACCCGGTGAGGGTGGGGCCAGGGCAGGGGGTGCTGGTGTGCAAAGCCAGGCCGTGGTGGAGGTGGGCAAGAGCAACGTGGCTCTATGGTGACTGCAGGTGTTTGGGGTGGAAAGACTTCAAGGAGCTGTGGGACGATTTAGGGCCTGGGGACAGAGGCGCCGGGGCCACACTCACGAGTAGGGACTGCTGCCACTCTTCCTGATATCTGGGGGCTGCAGTTTCTGAAGCAGGATTCGGATGATGCAAATAAACAGGATGAAGTTCACCTAGTGGGTGGGGACCTGAGGTCAGCAGCCAGAGCGGGAAGGCTGGGTGCGGCCTGCCCTCTTTCCCAGGGTCCTGCTGCCCTTTCATTTTGTGCAGGGCATCCGGGAACCCCACCTCCTTCACATCCCTGAGGACTGTGCTCCCTAACCGCCTACTCTCAAGGAACAGCTGGGGGGACAGGGATGGAGTGACCCTGCACTGGGCACTGGGAAGCTGTGTTTCAGTTCTGGCCTAGATACTAACTTCCCATGTGACCTGGGGCTAAGTTGTCTGCTCTCTGGAGCTGTTTCCCCATCTCTAGGTGGCGGGAGGGTGCCTTACCAAGATGGAGGTGAGGATGGGGCCCTTTATGATCCACCACAGGGAGGAGTCGATGATGTCCCAGCACCTGAGCAGAGTGGGGGAGGAATGAGAGGGCTGTCCTCAGCCAGAGTCAGCAGCACCCCTCCACAGGTTGTCCCCAGCTCTGCTCCTGAGCCCTTTAGCAACCCCCTGGCCCAGAGTCCGCTGCTCCCCAGGTCCTCCTTCCAGCCTCCCCTCTGGACCGAGTGCCGTGGTTTTTGTCCACTCAGCAAGGCCAGGTGGCATTATCATCCCACCCAGGGGGCCTGCCCAGGTGACGGCAGCGGGGGAGTGGGTGGGGCGGCAGCTCACCCGTAATCCTCAAAATGGATCCTGACGATGGCCCACACCGTGGTGAATGTGCTGGGCACCCCTGTCAGGCCCAGGGACAGTGACAGAGAAGAGGGCACAGGAGGCAGGGGCAGAGGGCATGAGGGAGATTTCAGAGAGAACCAGAGAGAAGGAGGGCGAGAGAAAAGGGCGATTTTCAGGCTGCTGTCTTTGGTTGCAGAGGCTGTTCACCACGGGGGGTGAAGCTGTATCCCTCCCTCAAGGGCTGTGTCTACTTAGACAGTCTCTTTCTCATTGTGACAGAGACCCTTTGCAGATGAGCAGTGGCCCTGTGTATTTCAGGGGCTGAAGGGAGAGGGAAGGGTGCTCACAGAATCTGTCCCACAGGTCAGCCCTGAGCAGCTGCAGGCTGAGGGGCCTGCCTGGGCTCCACACTCTGAGGACTTTCTTGACCCTTAGCTGTAGGCAGGACCTGCAGCTTAGCCAGACCTAGGACTGCAAGCGGGGTGGGCCCCCTCCCCCAGGGAGTTCTCCAGGCCTTGCCCCTCTGTCCCCAGCCTGGAAGCCCTCCCTGGTACCATACCCCAGCCGATGAGTATGTACCCCCAGAAGTACTTCCTCTCGGAGAAGAAGGACACGGCGAGCAGGGTGTACAGGTAGAGCCCCTCCACCAGCAGCCAGAAGAAGTTGGCCATGACACAGTATTGGAAGAAGACCATGGCTGCCTTGCAGCCCACCTGCAGGGGAGGAGAAAAGCGTCCTCGGCCGCCCGCACCTGTGTCTGGGGCAGAAGCCGGGTCCAGTGCAGCCAACTCCATCTCTGCCGCTCCTGCACCATCCCCTTAAAAATGTGCTCAGGGCTTTTCCCATTTCCCCTGATTTGAGGTCATCTGATGCTCTGGGATGAACGGGTGATTTTAATTCTCCATCCATCAATTCATCGATTCATTTTCCCATTTACGCATCTGGCCGTCTACTCATCCAGTCACCCACCCACCCACCTACTCGTGTATCATTTCTTTACCACCCACTAGACATTCACTGTGGACTCACTTCATCCACGTATCCACCCAGCATCAGTGCATCCACCCACCCACCCATTTCTCCATTCATCTACCAACCCGCTCACTTAGCCAGTAACCATCCATTCGTCTCTACACCCACCACCAACCCGCCTATCTACCTACCTGCCCCTCTGCCCACCATCTGTCCCACCTTCCGTCCTTACCAGTTTATCCTTCTGCCTCCTCAGCCAGCCACCACCTGCCCATCCACCCACCCCACCCAACTTGCATTGAAGGTGCGAGGGAGAATTCTTGCTTGAGTTTGCAAGAGTCCGCTGAGTGTGCGGGGCGGGGTGTGGACTGTGGGGTGTGGCCCAGATGGAAGTGTGGAGGGAGACTGGGGCCCAGAAGAGGGTGGGAGAGGGGAAGTAGGAGTGAAGAAGAGTGGAGGGTGGCCATTCCTCCTGGGTTCAGAGGACCTAGTGGAAGAAGGGATTCCTCAGGGAGAACCATGAGCAGGGCAGTCACGGGCTCTGGGTGTCCCACTTGACATGACCGGAAGGTGTTCTGGGCCTTTTGTCCCCTCCCTTTTCAGATGAAGCCCAGTGTCTGTGAGCCAGGCTGAGCGCCACCCTCCTCCTGGAAACTCTGGCTCCCACCTTCCTTCCTGTACCCTTGGCTTGAGACTGCCTCAGCAAGAAGCCTCCCCTCCCTGCCCCCACCTCCTCCCTAGGTTGGGAAGTCCTTCCTCAGGTCTTGCTCAGTCTCTCCAGTGACAGGAGTTCTTGCCTCCCCATCTTCCCCCTACTTGCTTTTGGAGAATAACTCAGCTCTTTACTGGGACCAGTTATCTGCTTCCTCCATGTCTTAGAAAAGCTTCACAGTAATGAATCGGGAACCAATCTCCACAGTCATTCTTAACACATGCACAGGAGGCAACACGTTCCTCCACAGGCCTGTGGCTCCCACTGCTCGTGTCTGACTCAGCCTCCTAGCTCCTGGGCAGAACCACTGAGAAGCTCTGGGAAGGGCCAAGGCTGGTCCCCTGGGTTTTCTCTCCCCTTTGTTGAAATGCCTGAGATTCCAGCATGATTATTTCACTCTTTGGGGAGAAGGTACTGCTGACCCCTGATATAATGCACTGCCTCTGGGGTGGTGCATGAACCAGTGAGTTACTGACCACAAGGAATGAGTGGGGCTGTCTGTCAAAGCTTGGGGCCCTCAGAGAGGGTCTCTCAGAATCCCATGGGGGGATGGTCCCCTTGGTGACTGGCAATGCATTCCTTAGATTCTCCCTTTACCTCCCTTCCCTAGGAAAGTCCAGAGCCAGCCTGAGGTCAGGATCTGAACACAGGAGGACCCTGTACGTTTGGGCGTACTCCAGACGGCACAGGGAAGGGGTAGGAAAAGTGGCATGGTGCGTAGAACCCTGGCCATGCAGGTGGCAGAGGGCAGAGTTGGAAGGAATCTTGGAAGTCCTTGCACATATGGGGAAACTGAGGCAGTAAGTTCCCCAAGGCCACATAGGAAGTTAGCAACACAGGTGGGACAGGGGCTCTGGGCTGTGGCCATGAAGTGTCTCATTTCCCATCTGCTTTTCTCCCTGGCAGGGGCAGGTCTGTGAGCTCCCAGATGGCTCAGCAACATCTCCTGTTGCCGGAGGGGAGTGTGATTTGAGGAGCTGCCAGGCGGGGTTGGGCCATCCTTGGGGTGGGGTGGGGGAAAAGAAGGAGGTGGGGACAGGGTGAAGCAGGGGGAGAAGAAGAGATTACAGTGGCTAAGGATGAGGGTGAGCCTGAGGGGGTGCTGGGGCAGGTCCTCACCGAGCCCTCGGAGCACTGGTCCGACTCGCCGCTGTCGAAGAGGGCCAAGTCTTTGATGAAGACCGCAGCGGCTCTCAGGATGAAGGAGACGAAGAGGTGCGTGTGGATGTAGTTCCGCGTGCAGTGGAGCTTCCTGCGTGGGGTGGGCAGATCTGGGAGGCCGAGCAGCCTTGGACCCCACCCCAGCCCACGCCGTCCTATGCTCTGAGCAGGCTTGGGTAGCAGAGCCTGTGTCCCCCAAAGGGCAGGCCCTGCCTCAAAGGGGGTCCCATCCTGAACTACAAGTCCTGCCCCCGGGTGCCCTATCCTCCTGTGCAGCTGGGCCCCCAAGTGTCAGCCTCGCGTGTGGCCCCAGAAGCCTCATTCCTGTGTGCAGGCCACACCCTTTGGTGCCCTGTCCCCAGCCACAGGGCCATCCTGGGGAGACTAGGCTGGAGCACATGGAGTGGCCTGGCCACCTGCCTTCTCCAGGGGAGCTGGGGCCTGTAAGCTGCCGGGGGCGACAGTGGAGCGGTCGGGGCGTGCCTGGGCCAGGCTGGGCTCCCAGCTGGGAGGGACACTTGCCAGGTCTGCTTTGAGGCCTGTCACTTGGGCTGGGCCTCACCTGCATAGGCTCAGGATAGCCGTGGCGACCAGCAGGGTGGCGAGGGACAGGCTGTAGCCGACGGTGTAGCCCGTCTTCACAGAAGCGAAGAACATGGTCTGCTGCTGCGGGAGGACGGGGGGGCTCTTGGGTGCTGGGGTGGGAGGCTCATCTTGGGGGACTGGCAGGGGTGGGGTACCCGACACACTCCGCCTTCCCGTCCCTGCCTCAGCAAATGGGGCTGAGGCCTGGGGCTCCAAAGAGCAGCTGAACAGAGCTCTTCAATCCCCTGACCCTAATGCCCTGGTTTCCACAGACGGGGCCAGACTGTGTCTTAGGGTGGGGTGGGGGTTGAATGTACTTTCTCTCTTTGTGTCTTCACGAGGGACAAGTTGGTGAGGGAGAGAATGAAGACCTTGCATGTCCCTTTTGCTAATTTCGTGTCTCCAGCCATGTGCCCAGCTCCCCTTCTGCACCAGCTCTGGACTGGGCACCCTGGGGGCCGGGTCTGCTTGATCTTCGACCCCCCTCAAGACCCTGTCTCTGTACAAGAGAGGCATGTGGAGGTGGCAGGGTGTCAAAGGAGACCTGCTGGGCTCTCAGGAGCTGGGGTCTGTGGGACGAGGGCAGGAGGGCAGAGCTGGGTCCGATCTCCTAACCCCTCCCTGTGGACACAGTGCAGTGCAGAGTGACAGCCACTAGATGAGCCCCACCCCCCATGCCCTGCCCGAGGAGAGGCAAGTGTTACGGGGGACCAGGGTCCACAGCTCCAGTGGGCTCCAGAGGCCTCTGAGGAAATTGCTGCCCTCTTGGGGAGTGGGTGGAGTGAAAGCCCCGTCTGACGGTGCCTGAGGGTGGGCAGATGTCATCACAGGCAGACACACACCATGCATTTGCACCCTAAAAGCAGTGAGGACTCCAGCCTCCCCCCATCAATGTCCTCACTAGGCTCCCCAGTCCTTACAGAGACCACCTGTGTTTTAGCTGCTCCAGGCAGATCCCTGTCCTGGGACTGAGGGCGACAGGCTCTGTCCCTGTTCCTGACTGGCTATTTGGTAGCTGGGGCTGGTTCCTTCTGGGACCTGCAGCACCTCGATTTCACCTCTGGATGGGATGGGGTGCTGGTGTCTGCCTGCCCTGCCAACTCCCGGGCTGGAGTCAGGCTCCCGTGAGGCAGTGGGGTGGCCCAGCCTGGGGGTGCTGCCTCAGCTTGGGCTGATCTGGGGACCCCTCCTTGGGAGGGTGTCCTCACATACCTTGTCGGGGGGAGCTGAGGGGTGGGCCCCCAGAAAGGCAGGCGGAGGAGCTACAGGAGGGCAGACTCCAGAGTCCTGCCCTCACAGACAACAGCCCCACCCCTTGGTGGGAGAAGTCAAAGTCGCCTGGGTGGGCCCTGCCGCTCTGCAGTGGGGTGGGGGTGTGCTGAGGCCCACCTCATCCAAACTCGCCGCCTTGTCATCCAAACCACAGGCAATGGGGTAGGGGCCGGGCTCCAGCTGTGTCCAGCCTTCGTCAGTGCAGCTGCGGCTCACGTTGCGGCCTGGTGGAGGGCAGGGACGAGGACAGAGGCTGAGGCCGGGAGCAGGGCGGGGCCCTGGAGTCAGCTGTGGGGACCTGGCTGTCTCTGTGCTTGGAACAGGGCAGAGAATTCAGCCCTACTCCTGCCAACCCTGCTGCTGTCAGGCTCCAGCTGCCCTGATCCAGCTACCCAGGGCACTGTGGGGGCACCTGCGGCAGGGAGACGCCTCTTCAGGGCTCCTGCACGGATGACAGAATCACAGCAGAAATGAACCTGACCCCAAGTACAACACACACTCTGACCCTTATCACAGACCCGCCTGGATCCTCGTTACAGAATGCTTCCTGATCCTTGTCACAAGGCCATGGCTGGGGGACGGCGCTGGGTCTGCCCAGTCCTCCTTAGCCTGCCTGGGCCTGTGGGGCTGGGTTTCTTCTCATACCTGGTAGGGCTCAGATGTGCTGCTGAACTGGGAGCAAGGCTGAGCAACATCTGTTGCTGGAGGGGAGTGTGATTTGAGGTGCTGCCAGGTGGGGTTGGGTGGGGGTTGAGCCATCCTTGGATTGAGGGGCGGGTGGGAGGGAAGAGGAAGGAGGGAGAAGGGAGTGAGGAGGGATGAGAGTTGGGGAGCACCTGAGAAGCCTGCAGATCCTAAATCCTCACGAATAGAGAAGCAGGGAGTCCCTGGCAGGGGAACCTGTGCGGACAAAGCCATGTGAGGGGGAATCAGGCAGCACAGCAAGGCAGGAGCTTGGGGCTGAAACAAGCAGAGGTGGAGGCTCCAGGGCAGCTGCCCGTCCACTGTCCTTGGAGGCTCCACACTGCAGCAGGCACAGGACTGCTGAGGGGATGTGAGGTGAGAGGTACCCCTGAGGCTCCCCACTCTCAGCACTGGGGGGGTGCCCTCTCGCCTGAGAGGGAGAGGACGGGTTGAACAGAAAGTCGATGAGCCGGAGAAGAATCTTGCTTCCCCATCTCAATACCCGTTCATCACTGCCACCGTCACCACCATCAGCAGCAGCACCTTGTCAGGCTCATCACAATGATGGGTTTTGAGCACTTTGCAAATGCAGTGCTGGTTGGAGCACTTTTCGACACGTCGTGTTTAATTTCCTCAACCATCCAGTGAGGAGGGTAATTCCATTTCATAGTTGAGAAGTGGAGGCACCTAGAGGTTGGTTACTCGCCCAGGGCCACACAGACAGGACAGGATGCTGCTGGTTGGGTCTCCAGAGTCTTGCCAGGTGAGCTTGGTTCTCACCTCCATGGAGGTGACCTGAGGCCTTATTTCAGTGGCCAGATGCAGAGGAGCAGGATGGTCAGTCTGTCCTGTGAGCTCAGGAGCGGTCACCAGGCATGTGTGTTTATTTCCAAACTTTCCCATGTGCCCAAAATATACCAGGTGATTCCATATTCACCATTTCTGTAAATCCTCCTGGCAACCCTTAGAAAGGGGTCTTGTCACCCTGTTTCATGAATGAAGAACGGAGGGACAGCCTGGGGTGGGATGGGACAGCCAGGAAAGAGCAGCCATGGGCTGTGTCCCTTTCCATCACATGGCCCAGGGAGGGCAGGAAGGATGTGGCTGAGGAGGGGCACTGCACTGGGCCAGTTTCCTGCCTTTGCATTCCTTTTTCTGCCCAGGGCTCCCAACCTCACTGCTGCAAGAGGTTGCCAGGACAGTAGAAGAGCCTTCAGCTGCCCCTGTGTGCCCTGCTCAGCTTCCCATCATTGCAGCCAGAGGTAGGCCTGGCCCAGAGCCTTCAGCCCAGCCCTCATCAAAGGGCAGGCCCTTCCTCAGCCCCAGTTCCAGGGAGCTAACTGCAGGCCCCGAGGTCCTGGCTCCCACCCACAGTCTGTTTCTTTTGAAGACTTGCCCCTACCAGGCTTGGGCAGGTTGAAAAGAGGGTTATGGGCAGGGTGTGGTGGCTCATGCCTGTAATCCCAGCACTTTGGGAGGCTGAGGTGGGTGGATCATGAGGTTAGGAGTTCAAGACCAGCCTGGCCAATATGGTGATAACCTGTCTCTACTAAAAATATAAAAATCAGCCAGGTGTGGTGGCACACGCCTGTAATCCCATTTGGGAAGTAGAAAAGTTCCTTTTAAAAGTTTCCTTTCTTGTTAAAGAATAAGTGTGCTGATAACTTTGCGAAGCCCTCTCCTATGTAGCTGTTAGACATGCCATGCTTACAAGCATGTAGTGCATCCTGTGTCCGTGTACTTTAACCGAGATATCTGTACAGGATGTGCTCATAATCAGGTTTTAGTTTAGATTGTGAGGTCTGGCTCCAGCCCTTGGAGATCAGACACAGCAGTAAGGATGGCCCCAAATGCGCAAGGGATACGTTGGTCTGCTTTTTCTTTGTTCATTGTACTCTCATGGCACGACGGCTGGCGAGGGTGCCCTTCCTGCAGTCCAGGGAGTAAAAATTGTGTTGCTGAAAAATCCTTTGTCTCAGTGTTAATTTTTCTTTCAGGCACCAACTATCTATTTCCAACCTCCCAGCTACTCAGGAGGCTGAGGCAGGAGAATCGCTTGGACCCAGGATGTGGAGGTTGCAGTGAGCTTAGATTGCATCGTTGCTCTCCAGCCTGGGTGACAGAGCAAGACTCCGTCTCAGAAAAAAAAAAGAGAGAGTTAAGGCCAAAGTCATCCAGCCTTGAAGCTAGGACACTGAAGCTTTGGGCTCTGTACTCACCAGAGGGACCAGGGCTTGAGGAGGCCAGGCCCAGTGACACAGCAAGCATCCGGTGTCATGAATTATGCCAGCAAGCCTGGGTGACTCTAGCACGTACACAGCAGCTTCACATGCCGTGTGTGTGAACATGTGTGTGCCTGTGCATGTGTGTGCGTGTGTGTAGTGTAGGGTAAACATTAATGTGTTGAGGCTAGAATAGACTCAGAAGTTTTTATTATCCCACCAAAAAATGGAGATCTCAAGGCTAAGAGAGGTTAAGTGACTTGCCCATGGTCACACAGCAAGGGAGCAGCAAGTCTGGGATACAGACTCCAGATCTTTCTGGGCTCCCAGCGGTGACCAAAGGCACAGCCTGTGTCTGGAGCCCTGGCCACTATGGATGGTGAGGGAGAGGAGGGACAGGAGAATGGGTCATCTCTGGGGCTAGGCAGCCTCCTTGAAGAGTTCTGGCACTGTGGTGAAGACTTCATAGCAAGCTGCTCTCAAGGAAATCGAAAAGGCAGCCCCCATGGGACCCCAAGAAGCAGCCAAGAGTCTCCTTCCAGTCTGGGCCTGGAAGCCAGCAGGCCCTGTATCTGCAGAGGGGGTCATGAAGGGCAAGAGGGAGGGAGCAAGGGACTTTAAGGGACTGTGCTGGGAGGGACACCCCATGGTCTCCCAGTCTCCTCCCACCTACCTTGTCTCACAAAGCAGTCATGGCCTAGGGCCCTCCACTCAGTACTCGTAGCCAGGAATTGGGGAGCAACCCTCTCCCTGCTCCTGTCTCTCCTCTCCCCATCAGTCACCAGTCCTGTCCCCACCGCCCCTTCCCCATCACCGCCACCTCCTCATCTCCTCTGGATCAGGTAGGACCCCTGCTTTCCTGCCAGCTCCCCACCCTGAGGCAGGTGGAAGGGTCATGCTAACACCCAGACCTGACCATGGCACTCTCCTGCTGATTCCCTGGCACAATGGAAGGGACGAGCTTCCCAGGCTGGCAGCAAGGTTTTCTTGTTACAGCATCATGAGCAGGTGGCGGGGGAGGGGAAGTAGCCCACGGACCCCACAGGCGTGGCTGACATAGGCTGTACATTGAATTTTCTCAGCCAGAATGGTTCTCCCTGTTTTATTCTAAAAAAAGTGTCTTCAAATATTTGAAGGTAGAAACACAGATAAAAGATATGCAGACTACAGATTGAGGAAGTACACGCCTGTAATCCCAGCACTTTCGGAGGCCAAGGTGGGAGGATCATGCGGTCAGGAGTTCGAGAACAGCCTGGCCAACAGAGTGAAACCCTGTCTCTTCTAAAAATACAAAAATTAGCTGGGCCTGGTGGCGGGCGCCTGTCATCTCAGCTACGTGGGAGGCTGAGGCAGGAGAATCGCTTGAACCCAGGAGACGGAGGTTGCAGTGAGCCAAGATGGTGCCCCTGTACTCCAGCCTGGGTGAAGAGCGAGACTCCATCTCAAACAATAAAAATAAAAATAAAGAAGTGAGCCACCATGCACATTTCGGTGCTTCGGTGAGCCTGGCGACACTCCCTCCTTCAGTGTTTCATCTAACCTAGGTAGATGACTTTGTCTAACTCGCCGCAGAATTTGTCTCTTCTTCCTATAAGCTTTCTCTGGCTTTCCCTGTAGGAGCAGGTCCCTTCCAGGGCATACGTCTTCCCAGTCCTGCTATCTAAAACGGTGTGAGCTGGTGCTAACATCACCCCTGCCCGACCCTCGCAAACTTTCCTCTCTGGAATTCGAGGTCGGCTGCCCACACCTTCTTCCTCTGTTTGCTCAGGAGAACACTCTCTTTTTTCTGTTTTCAGTCCTGAATCTCAGTCTCCTATTTCTCTCCACCATTTTTAGGGACGAGGCCCATGGAGTGCAGCACAGGGCATCTGGCTGGTGGGAACATTCTGCTTGCACTAGCTGGGCTCCAGTGAGAGGTCACCTCTGCCTGAGGAAGGGTTGCCTTTTTATTGTCAGTCCAAAGGCACCATAGGGCCCCATTGATGCCGGCAGCCCCAGGGTTAGTCAGATGGTGGGCGGGAGTCCAGGTTCTCAAGGGAAGGAGCTGCCTTGACACGTTCCAGCAGGGACAGAAGGAAGCGCCATAGGCAGGAATGCAGTTAGCAGCATCGGGGAGAAAGGCAGTAAGCTGGTGCTCCCAGGGGCCAGAGAGAAGATGGGCTTCCAGGCTCAGTGACAGGGTGCACCGTGAGGCCGGCCTGAGGAGCTCCCCTCTTATCTGCCCAGGCACTGGGTGTCCCTGGAGGCGGCACCTGGAATATGGCATGGCTGTGACCCTCCCGGACTCCTCAGGACGGCTTCAAGGTCTGTCTTTCCCCACTGAGGTCACAACACAGGCACTAGGGGGCAAACTAGCCACCCCAAAGAGACCCTGGGGTCTACTGCCACCCTCACTTTACAAACAGGGAAACGGGTCCAGGGAGGAAAAGGCCGCCTGGAGTGAGGGACGCCCGAGTTTTCTGCTGGCTCTCTGAATAATTATCTGGGTTCTGCTCCTCATAGTCCTCCCCACCCCAGGCCTGCTCCTTCCTCCGTGTTCCCCACCCAGTCCTGCTGTCTCTTCCCCAGGGCTCATTAAACTGAAGCCTAGGTGGGGCCTGCTGGATTCCTCCCTGGCCTCCCTCACTCCCATCCACTCCCGCAGAGCTCACTACCTGAATTCAAGCCGTCAGCATTTCCTGCCTGCCTTTCATGCCTAGAAACTGGTTAGAAGTTAAAAGTCTAACTTGGACCTGGTCAGCCCCCTGCTTAAAACTCCCCACTTCTTGCCGGACTTAGGAGAAAACTCAAATCTTTGCCTCTGTCCTCGAGGCCCTGCGTGGTATGGCCTCGGCCCGCCTGTGCCTCCCTTCCCGGCCTCCTTCCCTCCCTCCCGGCGTTCTCTCTGCTCCGGCCACTCTGGCCTTCACGGAGCTCCCTTGGATGCTTATTCCACAGGCTGTTGATTCTCTCTTAATTACCCGCAGTCTGGGATCTTTGCCTGGTGGCACGTGCTCACCTCAGGTCTTCAGATTGCCACTGAAGAGCCAGCTCCTCAGAGAGGGGCTGCTGGTGAACCCCTGCCTTAAGTGGGTCCCACACTCCTTCTTCTCTCGTCTGACACTTTTTATTATTGATGAGACATCTGTTTGTTTCCTACACGTCTCTCCAATTACAGCAGCCCTGGGGCTGTTTGTTCCTCTCCCGACTGTCCGTCCAGCCCAGTGCCGGGCACACCGGGGGGCGTTCCACTCACTGCACAGAAGAATGGCTGAATCTATATTGCAAACCTCTTTAATGACTCACTAGCAAGAAAGCCCACATGCTCGAGAGGCTCCCCTTTTCTCTTCTGCCTCATACGTGGACATTCATTGAAGTGGAACATGACAAGGTGTGTAAGCAAAGTCGTGGGGTGACTTCACGGAGCCCGAGAGGTCATCGGCTCCAGGCATGGCGAATCACGACCAGCCCAAGATAACAGGACTGTGGGAGCCATAATGTAGTCAAGTACCTGTCAGTCAATCACTTATCAATTGCTGAGCAAATATTTAGTGAGCCTCGCCCGCATGCTTGTCTTTATGTGAAGCGCTAATCCAATCTCATGAGTTCTTTAGAGACCCAGCACCGTCACCCCTCTGCCAGGGGGTCCCTCGGATTGCTCCGGCCCCTCTGCCCCCTTTCCTTTGCCTTTCCACTTCCTGAGAGGTGAGTCCCCGCCGCAGCCGGCCCCTCACATCACCTCTTCCACCCAGCGCTCTTACCTTGAATGGGGGAGAAGAGCTTGAAGATGAGGGGACAGGCCAAGACAACGACCTGGCCCCGAGGGGTGGCTGGCCAGCAGGTGAGGTTGTCCCACATCTTGCCGCAGCCTGTGGGGAAAGGCAGGGGACACACAGGTCAGCAGGTGCAGCTGCCCCCAGCGCTGGGGCCTGAGCCCATAGGCACCCATTCTTGTCCTTCTGCCAGGCTCCTACCTCAAGGAGCCTCCATTCTGAGAGGGGAGGCACAGCCTTGCCCAGACTGCACGGGGCCAGGGGCAGGAAGGAGGCCTGGCTACAGTTCCTTTGTCCTTATCGAGGGATGGAGTGCGCCCGGGGATGCTAGTGGGGCTTTGACTGTTGCAGCAACTGTGGGGCCTCACTGGCATCTGACTGGCAGACACCAGGGATGCCAGACAGGCAGCTCCTGCACTCTGCACAATGATGAATTTTCTTACATTCTGCATGGCTTCCTGATGAGCCACCTGGCATTTGTATAGGTGAAAACCTTTTGTAAGGAACAGAGCCTGGACTCTTACACCATTTTACATATAAACACAAGCCATTTAGGTTACTATTTATTTATTGAGATGGAGTCTTGCTCTGTTGCCCAGACTGGAGTGCAGTGGTGCAATTTCAGCTCACCGCAACTTCCACCTTCCTGGGTCAAGTGATTCTCCTGCCTCAGCCTCCTCAGTAGCTGGGACTAGAGGCCCACACCACCACACCAGGCTAATCTGTGCATTTTTAGTAGAGACGGGGTTTCACCATGTTGGCCAGGCTGGTCTCGAACTTTTGACCTCAAGTGGTTCGCCTGGCTCCCAAAGTGCTGGGATTACAGGCATGAGCCACCTCGTCTGGCCAACACAAGCTATTTATTGCACAAGTTTAACATACGTGGAGTTTTCCAGAAATGGAACCATGGAGAAAAGGGAGGGAAGATTGCATTTTGTTTCGTTCTGAACTTCACTGTGGGTTGTTCCATGTTTTGGACACTCAGTCACTGAGGCAACTGCCCATGTGCATCAGTCTGCATTTGTGGCTCTCACAGTGCTAGGATTTATATCTGTAGGTACAGCCTTCAGACTGCATCTTCTTGTAGTGTGATTATGCTTGAATAGGTACATGGTATTTTATTATAAATTACTTTCCTTTTAATATTTATTTTACAGTGTAGTTAGAACATTATTTTTAATAAAGTGGATGGGTATGTGTCCTGAATTTTGTATTATGATAGTAAAGAGGCATTGGAAAATGTTTGTTACAAAAGGGGGTGTTTATGATGGGTGATGGGTATATTGGGGTCCACATAGTTCTTTTTCGTTTTGAGACAGAGTCTGGCTCTGTCACCCAGGCTGGAGTGCAGTGGTACGATCTCGGCTCACTGCAACCTCTGCCTCCCAGCTTCAAGTGATTCTCCTGCCTCAGCCTCCTGAGTAGCTGGGATTACAGGTGCCCGCCACCACACCCAGCTAATTTTTGTATTTTTAGTAGAGACAGAGTTTCACCACGTTGGCCAGGCTGGTCTGGAACTCCTGACCTCCAGTGATCTGCCCGCCTCAGCCTCCCAGATTGCTGGGATGACAGGTGTGCGCCACACGCCCAGCCCCACCTAGTTTTGAACAACACAGACTCCCCCAGCTTGGTTGGACAGTGAATTGTGACGGAGAACAGGCAGGGAGCAGGTTCAGGGAAACCTGCACAGTGGCTGCGTCCTCTGCCACAGCCCTCAGAGCCTGGCCAGTGCAAGGTCCACAGTGGGGTCTCCAGTGGCTGCGTCCTCTGCCACAGCCCTCAGAGCCTGGCCAGTGCAAGGTCCACAGTGGGGTCTCCAGTGGCTGCGTCCTCTGCCACAGCCCTCAGAGCCTGGCCAGTGCAAGGTCCACAGTGGGGTCTCCAGTGGCTGCGTCCTCTGCCACAGCCCTCAGAGCCTGGCCAGTGCAAGGTCCACAGTGGGGTCTCCAGTGGCTGTGTCCTCTGCCACAGCCCTCAGAGCCTGGCCAGTGCAAGGTCCACAGTGGGGTCTCCAGTGGCTGCGTCCTCTGCCACAGCCCTCAGAGCCTGGCCAGTGCAAGGTCCACAGTGGGGTCTCCAGTGGCTGCGTTCTCTGCCACAGTCCTCAGAGCCTGGCCAGTGCAAGGTCCACAGTGGGGTCTCCAGTGGCTGCGTCCTCTGCCACAGCCCTCAGAGCCTGGCCAGTGCAAGGTCCACAGTGGGGTCTCCAGTGGCTGCGTTCTCTGCCACAGCCCTCAGAGCCTGGCCAGTGCAAGGTCCACAGTGGGGTCTCCAGTGGCTGCGTCCTCTGCCACAGCCCTCAGAGCCTGGCCAGTGCAAGGTCCACAGTGGGGTCTCCAGTGGCTGCGTTCTCTGCCACAGCCCTCAGAGCCTGGCCAGTGCAAGGTCCACAGTGGGGTCTCCAGGGCTCTGCTTTAGTAGGCACATGCAAATGCCATCGCTTATTCTGCTCAGGAGCTGCGCGCCCCTGAGGGACTAGGGCTGCTCTGGACCCTCCCATGCAGGAGGCTTAATTGTCTCTGCAATACTGTCCCATAGATTTGGTCAGAAAACCCATCCCCTGGGCCAAAGTCAACGCCAGCTGGGCCAAGTCCAGCCCAGCCCAGCTCAGGTCCGAAAGTTCCCAAGATCCCGAGAAGGGGGTCTGGGCAGAGGAGGCGGAAGGATGTCTTTACTTGGGGAAGATTTCAGGGACTCTGCATTGGAGCAGGCTGGCAGCAGCGAGGGGCCCCTTCTGGGGTGGCAGCAGTCTGGCCGAAGGCTGAGGAGGACACCTGGGCCCCCAGGGCTTGGCGGGAGACTGTAGCCTCCCTTGCTCATGGACCCTGAGTGCTTCCCCCTAACCTGGCTTGAAGGTTCTTGTGGCCTCAAGTTGGCCGCCAGTCCCTCCTCCGTTCTCAGCCAGCCTCTCCGAAGGCCGAGTAGGGGCACTTCAGGTCAGTCAACCCTGCTGGGCATTCAAGACCCTGATATGAACATCAGCAAACACTTACATAACCTTCGCACGTGCCAGGCTCTGTTCTGACGGCTTTAGGTGGAAAACTTATGTAAAGCTTCCATTTCACAGATGAGGAAGTGGAGGCGCAGAGTGATCAGACAGCTCGCTCCAGGCCACGCTGCTGGCGAGAGGCTCAGTTGTTCACACACTCCCTCTCTTGGTTGGAAGGGCTGCTGTCATTTCTCTGGAATTGGGCTGCTGTGGGACTTTGACAGCACTCTCTGACAGTGCCGGGCACACCGTTTTGTAGGCTGGCTATTGTGTCTGGGTCCCTGCCAGACTCTGGGCTCTGTAAACCTCCGGCTGCCAGTACAGGCCAGGGAGTGAATCTGGGGCTGGGCCTCTGGCCCTGGGCTCTGCTTCACTGCAGTGGGACGGAAGAGAGGAAACCAGGCCCTGCCCTTGGGGAGGCCACCCTTGGCCTCAAGGAATCTCAGCACAACCAAGGCTGGGCTGGGAACTGGTGCTGGGGTGTGGGGCAGCTGGCAGGGCAGGGGAGCAGGATGGGAGGCCAATATGAGGGGCGTGGCTGGGGAAGCAGGGACAGGGAACAGCCATGACTATACTTGGTGCCTGGAATGGCCTGTTGTCCTGGGCTGGGCACTGGGAGTATTTCCTCTGTGCATGCCCTAATGAGGCCCCGCAGGTCCCATCACACAAGTCACCAGGCCTACAGAAATTCAGGGCCCAGGCTGGCTATGTGTGCTCACGGGTGGACTGTGACCCCACAGGAAAACCGCACCCAGAGCCTGGGTCAGGGATGGTGAGGCAAGGTGAGGCGGGGCCTCTACTGTGCCATGTTGTAGATTTGTGTGCATACAGAGATACACACACCGACATGTCCACGCCAGTACATAGAACGCCAGGTGCACATGCAAACATGCACACAAGTACACTTACACACTGAACACAGAAAGGAAACGACAGAAAGACCATAGAAAGCCACTCTCTGTGCAAATGGGCAGAGAGACACATGGCTCACAGAGACAGACCTGTGGAGACAGACAGGCCTGGGTGTGCCGCCGACATCACACTGATAGACATGCAAGCCGACACACCGAGACACGGCCACCGGGCAGACACATCCAGGCAGACACATCCAGGCACGTCCAGAGATGGCAAGTGTCCAGGCTTAAACAGACACATGCTTCTGACTCACAAAGATACTCAGAGTCAGACACAGAGCTATAGACCCCAGAGGCACAGGCGCAGCGCCCCATGCAAGGCCACGGGCAGACCCACAGCCACAACCCACACCAGCCCTTCTCTGCATCCCAGTCTGGCTGCTGGTGACAGGGTGCTGGCACTCAGTGGGCATGCTGTGCCAACAGTGACCTCATCAGAATCACGAGTGTGGCCTGCCCCAGGCCTGGCAGGTGTGCCTGTCTGCACCTGGGCCTGGCTCCCTGCACTGGTAGGGTGGGTGAGGCCTGCAGGTATTGGGCAGGTCCCACCACCCCGTGACCCATGCCTTGGTCTCTGGGCCTTAGATTCAAAGCGTTGTCCTGCTTTGAGACCAGGGTTGGCAAGGCCCGTCCTTTAGGCTCTACATACTCACTCGCAGAGCAGAAGGCAGGCAGCCTGGGCAGCAGGGCCAATAAGAGGGAGCTGGAAGGGTTATTTAACTGTCAGCTTCAGGGAGGTGGAAGGGGAGCTAGGGAGCCGGGAAGACATAAAGATGCCCCCTGCTCCTGAGCAAGGCTGGTACAAGCCTTGGGGAGAGGAGACGGCCTGGGATGGAGGCCCAGAGCAGGTGCAGCCACCTCACTGCCTCCAGCCCAGACGTGCCAGGCTGCCCTCCCTGGCAGTAAGACTTGGACCTGACAATCGTCCTGGCAGTAAGACTCGAACCTGGCAATTGTGCCCCACTCCTTATGAGAAGTCTGCCTCTGTGCCTCCCACCTTTCCAGCCTCTCTGCTTCTCCAAAGCTGTTCACCCCTCCAGGTCTAGTTCAAGTGCTACCAAGGAATTCCACCCGTTTGTCCCTGGGCTGCTGAGCCAAAAGGAGGGTGCTGTCATCTGCACTGATAGCCCCACTGCCCAGTCTAACTAGCTGGGCACCACTCTTCGCACTGCCAGGTGGAGCCCTCCCCGAGCCCGGAGGAGCAGTGGCTGGGCCCTCATGTGCTCAGCCGCTGGGGCTGACCTCGACTTGTCTCATCAGCCAAACAGTGAGCCGATGGTTCACTGGCCACTCAGGGTGGGTTGGGATGGGGAGCCCAGTGTGTGTGCCTGTATATGTATGCTTAGGGGCTGGGCCTGTGTGTGTGTATGTGTGTGTCTGTGTGCGTTTGTGTGTGTGTATGTGTATGTGTGTGTGTGTGTATCTCTGTGTGCATTTGTGTATGTGTATCTGTGTGTGTGTGTGGTCACTGTCAGTCCTCTGGGTGTGGCAGAGCCTGAGCCTGGGGTTGAGCAGGAGTAGTGGGCCTCAGTTTCCAGACTGAGGATTGCCTGTGGTGACTGTTTCACACCTGTCAAGACAAAACTCCTGCCCCTTCTTGCTTTGGATCATCAAGATGGCTTTGAGCCTCCATGCGATCCCTGTGGAGGTCACATATTGTGACTGAACGTCCCCTCATCGTCCCTGGAGATGTAGTACAATGGTGTAATCCTGGAATGTGGTATTTTGGGGCTAGTTATCCCAATGCCAGCTCCAGAGGTTCCTGGAACCTGCCTTCCCTGCACCTGCTCACGCAGGTCCCCCCCACCACGCAGCACCATGACCTCACATCCTGGGTGGGTAGCAGCCATGGACATCTTCACTTTTCCTGGAGTAGAGGGCTAAAGGACCCCCAAAGGCAGAGTTGGCTCCATGTACTTTTCAGAACCCCAGTTTAGTATGTCCTCCTCAGCCTGGCTGGGAGTTCCCCAGACCTAGGGTGATGGGAAAGGGAAGGCCTGTTAGCCCCTTTCTTCTTCCGTCTGGCTCCCCAGCCTCTCATCACCATCATCCAACAAATATAGAATGGACGAGACTTGGATCCTGGTCGCGACATGAGGAAACGCGGGCTTTTGGGGGTGCACAGCCCCTCTCTGCTCGTGGGGGCCTCACCTGCTGTCTCGTTCTCCAGCTCGGCCTCCTCCAGGCACTGCTTCTGTTGCATCTCGATCATCTGCAGATAGTCACACTCCTGCTGCAGCCTGGCCGCCCGGCCGCCCTGGGGACAGACACAGGAAGGTCCAATAGCCTCGTCCACAGACTCAGGAGCACCAGACCCATCCCTGGGCTGCACCTGCCCTTCCTGGAGGAAATCCCAGTTCCAGTGGAGCCCAATCCCAACCCCAGACCAAAACCAGAGCCTGACCTGAATCTACCCCAACCTGCTGTCATTGCCCCAGCCTGGGTGGGCCTTGAGGACCCTGCCACGGCTTCTTGCTGGCTCCCCCAACAGCGCTGCAGCTGTGACAGCTTCGTCTCTTTGTAGGTGGCACAACCCCAGACAGCGGTAAGAGGGTGTCCCCTCAGAGGCCTGAGCTGCCTCTGGACTTGGCTACTCTCTAGCTTGGCTTGAGCGTCCTCTGTCCCTCTCTCCGTATCCCTGGTGAGGGGGCTAGCTCATGCTGCTACTCTGTTATGTGGAGTGGATCCTGGCTGGCCTCTGGTTCTCAGGGCCAGGCCTGGGAAGAATCCAGGAGTCTGGCTGATTTTCCAGCGTCCTGTGCTCAGTCCCCGGGTCACCAGTCTGGGAAGGGGACTGTGGCCTTCCTTGTCCAGACCTCACCTGCCTCCTTTTCGGTCTCTAAATAATTCAAGCTCTACCAGATCTGCTGAAGGTGGGGAGGTTTAAGGATGTAAGAGAGCCCCTCGAGGACCCCAGCAGGCTTCCTCTGCCTCTGGAAGATGGAGAGAAGGGATGGAAAAGCCCAAGCTTCTCCTCTTCCCTCCCTAACCCTGGCCTGGGATCAGGGTCAGACCAGTGTGACAGGGGACGCTGACCCTGGGGAAGACATGTGGGTGGGGTGCTGGATGTCTAGGAACAGCCAGAAAAAACAGGTCATGGGAGCTCTTAGGTGGGTTAGGGTGGGTGAAGGCCTCCGTGCAGAAAGCGTTGGGCTGGGAGCAGCTTCTGCGTCTGTGGCTTTAGAAGAGTGGCTGCTGGCCCGGCAACCCCACACCAGTTCCCATCTCTGCCTGGGGAGGAGAATGTCAGTTTCCACCAGGGCCATAGGAGAGAGTCCAGCGAGACCACTCCAGAATCGGACATTCTCAGCGTCTCCTCCAACTTGTCCCTCCCACCCTGCGACAGAGTCCTTGCCTCCCTGGGCCTCAGTTTCTCTGTAAGCTATATGGGCCTCAACCACCTCCCCTGCTGACTAAGAGGTTTCTTGAAGTGGATCTGTGGGAAGAACATAGGTAGGGGAGGAGTCTTCCTTTAAGGGGGGGTCCCTCCTGGCCTGCAGGCACCAAAGGGCTTAGTACTTTGACCAGTGTTCTAAGTAAATCAGCTCCATTTACTGGGATGTGCATCCGCACTGGCAGCCAGCAATCCACCGCTGCGGAGGGAGAGGGGCCCAGGCTGAAGTGGCACAACTCAGTGCCCAAGAGGGTGTGCGCCACGCCCCTCCACCCCAACAGCTCTCGTTCCTGTCGAGGGCTCTGTGGTGGAGACTCTGTCTCACAGGCCACCTGGAGACCAGCTCTCCCGGAAGCAGCACCAGGGTTGAGCTTGCCCCGGTCCAGGGAGGGCCTCTGTCTCCAAGACTCCTTTAGATCCCCCAGCGTCCAGACCCCAGCTGCCTGTGCGCCATTGCCCCGGAAGCCGCACGTGAACACGAGATCCGTTCTGCACCTTTACTAGCCAACAGGGGTAAGGACACTAGCTGGCAAGCCATTCAGAACTTACTGAAGTTACACAGTTGTGTGATGGAGCTTGATACAGTCATTCGTGTAACTGTTAAAAGATAGGAGACTTCAAGGAAACTGTGTCTGCGGTTCCTCTTTGGGGTCATGTGCTTCCTCTCTTTCCCATAAGGGTTACTCAGGCTGAAATGCTCAAGACATTATGTCCCCAGGGATTTGTGGCTGCTTCATCCTCAAGTATAGGGAAAGGAGTGGCTAGGTAGATCTCAGAGGTGGCCTCTGGAAGAGGAACCTGGGTACTGGCCACTCTGCCTTGTGTCCCACCATTGGTCTGTCTTGGAGCACCAGGTACCATCTCACCAGGGTACCACCCCAACCCCATTTCCCACCAGCAACAGGGTTCTTTCTACTTTCTGGCCCCTTCCCAGCCTCTCCTGATTCTCCTGTCCAGTCTCACCTCTCATTACCCTGTAATGTGAAAGCAGGACGGATGTAGCAGACACCTGTTGTTTCTGCCGTCCACCACCCTTCACTCTGTCCTTGTGCCATGTCCTCGCCCGTGTCCGGGAAACCACGTCCCTCCCTACCTCTAGTTCAGGGAGTTCTGACGGACCCTCTTCGGGGGGACTGACATGTGACCGAGACTTAAGTCGCCCAGGGCACTCCCGGCCACAGTGTCTGACCCACCGCCCAAGTCAGGCTATTCAGAGCCAGGAGGCTCCCTCCTGGGACTTTGGATTAAGTGATTAAGCAAGTGAATTTGTTTTTTTCCCAGTGGACTGGAAGTCTTAAAGGAAGCAAGGGCTTGGGCTTCTGCTGACCTCTTGTTGAAAGGGAAACACAGGAATGAAAGCCACACGGCTGAGGCAGAAGAGATGGAGAAAAATCAGGCCCCATTAACATTGTCTGGGGCTGTGAGTGCAGCCATGCCCGAAACCTGCCCTACGGCTGGCAACGTGAGCCGATACCTTTTCTTTGCGGCTTGGCTCAGCTGCATTTGCTGCCGGTTGCTGTAAACAGAAGTGTTCAGCTTTGCTTTCTGAGGACAGGGCAATGGGCACCCTCACTTTCTGGGCCCTCTTAAGCCAGGACTACGGCCACGTAGTTTGCCAATAAATATTTGTTTCCCGATCACCATGGGCGCCAAGGGTTTCTGCCAGCATCTGCCTGCGACTCTCTGAGGACAGAAGAGTGTTGGGCCAACTTCTCCAGCCAACTCTGCTCCCCAGCAGCACAGCCACAGCGCCCTTCCTGAGCGGCAGTTTGGAGAGAAAGGAGGGGTGGGTGCAGGAGCCTGTGGTGCTGATGAGAAACTGGGTGGTCTGGAAGATGAGCTCTGTCTTTGCCACAGTTTAGTTCAGTGCTGAGCCCTATCTGGAGAAGGGTAGAGGAATGGAGACCCAAAGAGGGACCGGACATCACCCAGCAAACACACGTTCCCAGATGGGGCCTCGGTCTCTGACCGCTGCTCTGGACTGCATCAGTCCCTCTCCGCAGCCTGGCCTTGGGCCCTCTGGCCAACCATTGCCCTTTGAGGGGCCAGGCCAGGGCAGCTCCCTCTGGTCCTTATCACGGAGGAATTCAGGCAGACTTTGGACTTCCTCTCCCGCTTATTTATTTCCCCATTCTAAACATCCTCATTATCCCTCTGGACTCCAGGCACACAGAGTCAGAAAATTCCCTGGCTGAATGTAGCCAAGCCTACCGATGCCAGGGAAGTGTTCCGGGGGAGGGGGATGTAGCTGGAGCCTGGGATTCCTACAGAATGGGATGCTGAACTCATTCCCTAGACGTACATCATGGAGGGTGTGTGAATTAGAAGTGGAGAGAGAGCACCCCAGCAGGCAGAGCGGCATGTACGCAGGCATGGAGGCAGGAACATGCCTAATACGTGCGAGGTTTTGAGAAGCCTGGGGCCGCTGCAGCATGGAGTTCTGGGGGCATCAGGAGGCACGTTGGGAGGTGTAGCCTGGGGCAGGATTGGGAAGGACTTGGAATGCCAGTTTTCAAGTGTGAGCTTTCACTCTTAGGCCACGGGGGCCAACAGAGATTTGAAGCAGGAGGCTGAGGATGGGGGATACACATTTTACAAAGATCCCTCAGGTTGCAGGGGGTGGGGCTGAAAGCTACTGCACCAGTCCAGGCAGGAACTGATGAAGCCTGGCAGGACAGTGGGCACAGAGAGGAGGGGGATAGAGAGGAGGGGGCAGGTAGAATGAGCACTTGATTAGTTCCTGTCTCCAACTAGACTCGGGATTCTCCTGCCAATTCCCTGTCATTCACCTCCCATGTCCAGCGAACACCATGGCATGGGACAGGATGGAGGAGATGCTCTGGACTTCTTGGGTCTTGCTTGGGTCCCTTCTGGGCTTAGGACCTCCTGTCCTAAAGAAGGTGCTGAGGGCCCAGCCTGGCCCAAAACTCTCCAGCCTCGGCTCAGCTGCAGGGGCAGGCTCCCTTTAAGCTTACTTTTTGGAGTTCAGTCTAGTACAGGATCCAGTGAGGGGCTTCAGAGAAAGCCTTGCTTTTCCTCTCCGTGTGGGGTTACCTGAGACCTGGAGCAAAGGCTAGGTGTGGTGGTGGGGGAGGGGTGAGGATGCTGAGAGCTGTAGCTCCCTGTAACCTCCCCCTGTTAGATGCAAGGGGCTCTGAAAGACAGGGTGGGCCCAGCTCAGGTTTATAGGTCACGTTCAGTCCCCTCAAGGGAAGCCGAGACCACAGCTACTGCCTGTAATCAGAAGCCCCAGCCTCATCATCTGGGGCCAGAGAACTGGGGCAGGAGGAGCCAGGCAGCACAGCAGGAGGCGAGAGTCCCTCTGAGGAGCAGGTGCTCTCTGCGAGGAGCACGGAATGCAGCAGGCTGGATAAGGTGAGGCAGGAGAAGGAACTGTCTGAAAACTGCCAAGCCTGGGGAGCCTCCATGGACGGTCTGTGCTTGTGAGGTTTGTAAAGAGGGCTTTTTAATTCCTTCCCTGCCTGTGACTGTTAGAGGAGGCAGAGGAACGGGGAGCAGAGGACGGGGGACTCAGGAGCGGTTCCATTGGCCTTCTCCTCACGACTTATCTACTCTCCTGCCAGCCCCCCCGCTGAAATCACAGGGTGAAAAAGAGACGCAGGCGGAATGGAGGAGCCAGAGAGGAAACAGTGATTACAGCACACAGGACAGCAGCCCAGTGTCTCACCCTTGCTGCCTTTTGCATGTGAGCAGGCGAGGATGCACAGACCTTGTAATTGGGAGGCAATGGGGGAGAGAGGGGAGAAAAGGTGGGAGGAGGGAAGGGCAGGAAGGGAGCAGGTGAAGGACATATGTAGGTAAGGTGGCTCACAGATCCAGGGGTCACAAAAGAGAGGAGGAGC